TTGTTACACAAAAAGCTGTGAAAGTCATCAAGTCTGAAACAATAAATTCCTGCTGGAGAAAACTGTATCCAGATGTTATGTGTGACTTCACAGGATTTATGACAGAGCCAATCGAGGCTTTGGGAAGAAATTGTTGATATGGCAGAAAAGGTGGGGTGGGGGTTGAGTACAAAGGGTTTTAAGGTATGGATCTTGGAGTAATTCAAGAGCTAATAGATACCACACCAGAGAAATTAATGGAAGATGACTTGGTGGAGATGAGTGCTTCCAAACCAGTGCCAGATGATGAGGAAGAAGACAGAGAAGCAGCGGTGCCAGAAAACAAATGGACGTTAGATAGTCTGGCAGTCTGGAATAATCTGGTTTCGATTATTCAAGACTGCTTGTGACTTCTTTTAAGACATGGACTCTTCTGTGATGTGGGCACGGAAATTAAAGCAGTTGGTGGAAGAAGGGTTGGTATTGAATACCTGTAGAAACATTTTTAGAGAAATAAAGCAAAAATGAGAAAAGTTATGATGTATTTCCATGAAGTTACACCAAATGTGCCTGCCTGTCTTGTCTCCTTTTCTACCTCGTCCACCTCCTCTGCCTCTGCCAGCCCTGAGACAGCAAGACCAGGCCCTCCTCTTCAGCCTACTCAATGTGAAGACACCGTGGATAAAGACCTTTATAATCATCTCCTTCCACTAAATGAGTAGTAAATATATTTTCTCTTCCTTGTGATTTTCTTAATAACATTTCCTTTAGGTTACTTTATTGCAAGAATATAGTATATCATACATATATAAAATATGTGTTAATCGACTGTTATCAGTAAAGCTTCTGGTCAACAGTAGGCTATTAGTAGTTAAGTTTTGGGGAGTCAAAGTCAAGATTTTCCACTGTGGAAGGGCATTGGTGCCCCAACTCCCACGACAACCATCCATCTCTGTGCATGTCTTTTGTGTGTGTGTGTGACTATGTTTGAGCATTTCTTTAAACTATACCCGAAAGTAAAATTGCTGTAGGATAGGCACCTCTTAACTTTACCAGAAATTCCCAAATTTTTCTCCAGGGTAGTTGTTCTAGTTTACATGCCTACCAGCAGTGTATGTGAGTTCTTATTTTTCTATATCCTGGCCAACACTTGGTGTTATCTGCCTTTAAATATTTGCCATTCTGGTGTGTATGAAATAGTATCTCATTGAATTTAATTTGTACTTTCTTGGCTGTTTAGTGAAGTTAATGTATTTCTTCTTAATTTTCTATCATAGCACCCTATTTCTTTCTTTCATAGCACTTATCACAAGCCATTATTTTGAGTTGGTGTGTTTATGTGTTTATTGTCTGCCTCCCTATCTAGAACATAACCTCTGTTAAGACTGGGGTCACGTCTCTCTGGTTTACTGCTTTCTCCCCAGAGCTCAGTGCAGGGGATAAAACTGAATGGTCTGGCATGTAACAGGTGTTCACTAAATAGATGTTGAACGATTGAAGCAAAGGGGTGGGTCTCTCAATAAATAAGTCTAACATTACTATAAGAGAAACATCTGTACAGTAATAGGGTACTCCTCCTATCCAAACCTTATACTTTATTCCATACCTAGTTGATAGTACTTGATTCTGATCTTCATTTCTTCCCTTTTTCCAGCCTTTGAATAAGCTTGAATGGGAGGTAGTAGTAATAGATGATAACAGAAATACTGAGTCACACATTATTTGATTTGATAGCAATGTCTATCTGCTGGGCCTGTGATTTGAGAGACACTGATGTCCAGTTAGCCTAAGATTGTCTCCTGGGTCCCACACCAAAGAAGAAACTAAAACTCTGATGAGGTTCATTATCAGGTAGGAAATCAAG